AAATGGAACGAACCGCTGAAGAGATGAAGATATTCAAGTCCTAACGTGTCGAAGTGCTTCGTAGATTACTGTACTCTCGACGATTCCAAGAGATTGAAGTGATTGAAGACATTGAAGGCATTGAAGAAATGTAAGAAAATTGAAGAAAGCGTAGATAACGCTTTTGCAAGAAGGAAGGAAGCGTACGAAGCGAACTGGGTGCCGATTTCGCTCATTTCACAGCGTTGATGACGACTCGGGGATTGTTGGAATGATGATTCGTATGTTTCTCATTATCAAGGAAAATCAGCGAACGACGGTCAACTTTGGAAGTGGGACGCGTTTGTTGCTTATATATTAAGATGCAAATCTAAACTAAGGATAAATAAATAAATATTTCAGATGTGTGACTTTCTAGTCGAATCTTTAGAGTGCAGCCACCATAAGGAACTCCCACAGTACAATTCAAAACAGATAAGCACATTCTTCAGACACTATATAAAGTTATTCAGTGAAGTTGATGATTAAAGTTTATCTAGAATTACACGAAATTCCAAATTCCAAACCAGTGATTTCCAATTCGATTTTTTCCGTTTACTTTTCGACACAACTTTCGGAGATGCCCAGAATATTTATCAGCTGCCTATTTGTTATTCAATTCCTCACTTTGAGTTTCGTCTGTAATATGTAACCAACTCGTTTTTACGATTTGAAGGTAAAAGTAGAAAAATATGTTTATGTAAATTAGTTTCGGTTTCGGTTTCGGCCGAAACTGATTGCAGGGCCGAAATTTTTTGAAGTCTCACACTTAAAATATTACATTACAGTTTTGTTTGCTTTGTGATTTATTTCGAGAATATTTACAGCGTTTCCAGACACACCTGTTCGTTGCCCTTAGTGCATAATTAGCAAATTGTTTAACTATTCGTCTAGTGAAATATTACAGATGTCTACAAACGTGTTGGCCACCAATGCCTTAAGTTTACACAGCACTCATGATTCAAGCCGCACTTTGGTCACTTTAGTCACACTCAAGCCAAGCCAAATTGTACTTAAATCATACTTAAAGTCACTTGGAACTCGAAGCAAAGTTACTTTAATGCTTGCATCATAATGTATGGCAGAATTAACATGTAAAAGGTGTATGGTCAAAAATAAGCTTACAATCTGACAAGTACAAATATGGAGACAAACAGAAGTAACCGTTGCTATTCAGGTAGAAATTCAACAAAGTATTCTATTCAGAGCTAAATTTAAGAATTGAAACAATTAAAACTCATTAACACAAAAACATTGTTTAAAAAATATAAAAAGTCATCGGTGACGTAACGTGTCACACTAGACTTCCGTTAGCACTCAAACAATATAAAATTAAATTTAATTGAAATTTTGCAAGACGTGGAAATAAATTACTATTAGAATAAAAACACAAACATAACCGTACGTATCTTAATTTCGTATATTGCAAAGTTTAGACATGGTCATCTTCAACATCTTCTCAGGATAAGATAAGAAATTACGCTACGCATTAATTAAATACAGTCGTTTGAAATACTTCGAGCATTACAGTATTTTCTAATAACAGTAGTAATATTACGAATGTGAGTACCTACTTATGATCAAATACATCGCATAAAGATTAAACGCATAAAACGCATTAAACGCGTAAAGCGCATCAAACGCATAAAAAGCATTACGACGAAAGCACGGCAAACAGTATTTAATCATTGCAACACATACAAATACACACATTGTAATTATATGCAATTTGTTTTAGTCAAGAAATTGTGCTGTATTCATCAACGACTTCAATCCTTTACCGTTTTCAAATTTCATTTTTATACTTAACAAAAAAAAAAAACGTAAAAAGTTTCAATTGATAACTGGATTAAAATACGTATCACTTACAATACGCCAATTTTGTCGATAAATCGTGATAAATTACTCTCCGGATACATGGAAGTATCCAGTATTCCAGTATTATCTTACGGTTAGTTAGCAATAAGTCAGTTTTCTAATTAAACTCCCATTACTAATTGTAATTTATTCAATCCCTCGCTGATTATATATTCATATCGACAATATCGCAAAATCGCCGATCGCAATTTTCTCATCCCAATGTTCTCCTTCTTTTCGTACTCTCTTTATTTCTCTTTCGTGATTTTATGCTTAATACTATATCATCCGACTTCCAACAAGACATTTTACATGACTTATGACCAATGCACACCTTGAAATAACAGCTATTATGCAGAAATATCGGTAATTGTAAGTTTTGATCAAGCGTTGATATATTGATAAGAGGTTTATTATGTCAATACGTCAATATTGATTGTTTATTAGAGTAAAAGCGTCGAATGATTTAATTCACTTATCGGATAGCTAACTGATTTGCGCGATAACTAGTTAGCGTGCATTAGAAAGCAAATTCAATTCATATGGATATGGAATATTAGTTATGATCATGTTTACAGTTTTAATCCTATTGGCAGAAAATTGTACTTGATAATTTGTCAAGGTGCATGAATAAATATTTAGTATATAATTAATGGTATTAAGTTTAAAGTTTTATTCCTTTAAATAAATAATTTATATATCCTGAAGAATGCTATTCTTCATTACGTATGCGTTTGTTGTCTTTCGTTTAACGGAAACATCTAAAACGTGGAAATTCATTCACGTTGCTTTGCGTATGCTTCTGTTCGCAAAACAAAGTAAATTAAAAGTAAGTATCGCAATATGTGTAGATTTTTTTATGAGCGGAAAATTTTTAACTTTTCCATTGCACCGATTATTGGTCTGTAAATTGGTAAATTTAATCTACATTACCGAAAAAAACTCTTTTTAAATTATCTACACTTAAGAATTCAATATATCTTCGTTTGGTGCCTGTACTATAAACAAATACTCATTACAATATTCATTTCACGCTGTTTATGTTTAGTGTTCACTTGAATCTTCGCTCATTTCTTTTTTTCTCAACACCGAAACATTCGTACGCATCAGCATTGGAAACAGAAGCGCTTCTTGTATGAATAAATGTTTTTTTTAAACACAGTACACTATTGCCCGATAGTGTGAAGCGAAATAATTCCCACACGCATTTTATTTTATTTACGACGCTCCGATCGCAATGCATAAATACATTTCAATAGTCGCAAACGTCTCATCAGAAATAAATTTATTATTACTCACGCAATTTATCCGTCGATTAATATCCTCATTTGCATTTCACTTAGTACTGCTCGTGATAACGGCGTCAATACACCTCGGCAATTCAAAATGGTTGTGATTACACGTATTTCGAGTGAGTTTGTCATCAGCAATTGAGGTTACGTTCGCACATTATTCACTTAAAACGATCGCTTACGTGCTTGCAACGTACAACTTACGGAGAAATTAAACTAACATACTAAAAGATTTATATGTAAAAGTAGAAATGAATGAAACGCTTTAGTTTCCGGAACATTTCTCACGACCGCACAATTCGGCTGCGGTTATGTTTATATGCGAAACGCACGCGTTCTCTCATTAAATATCATTCTGTTTGTGCATGCGTCACCGCCATTGCTGAACTTAATTTCAGTTTCCAAGCTGTCAAGCACAAGATCTGGGACTGCATGCTGATTAACCCATATGCTTCATGAAAATCTCGGAAAATTTAATACCAACTCACATAAATGTTCACATGTTCAAATTGTAATATTTAAATCTACGAATTATTTAAAAATTGTTGTACAATATACCATAATTTCTAAGTCGTATTTTATAAATTTAAAGAATTTAAAGGTTATGTTTATAGTTATATTATGCAGCCGCATTGATTAATGTTCCAGGTACAGATTTATCAATAACGCAGCAAACGAGCATGGCACAAACGAGCAACGATGATTTGTACGATTTGTTCACTATACACACTCATCGCCGCGGAAGTGTCATTAATCAACAAAACGATTATTAATAACAATCAACGTCTCAGTGTATTGCGCGCTCTAAGTTGTGAAAATAACGATTTCAACATCTCGCGAGAGCAGAATCATCAAGAGTCCGAAATGGGACGTAAAAGTTCCGCAATACAATATAACCTTAAATCTGTACACACATAACCTCATATGTCAATTGTCATCTGTCAATTGTCAACGGTCACATAAATTTAAGTACACCCATTTGTATAAGTATTTATAAAAAACTATCATGAATGTTTACATATGACACAGTTTCGATTGTGATCGCTTGTTAATATTTTCAATCCTTCGCAAATAACAGGAAATGCATTCCGATAGACGGCAGATCGCCGGATTAAATTGGAAATGTAAATCGGCGTAAATCAAACATACCGCGAACATATAAATTTCTTCATCGTTTGATTTTCTACGTCGGCATGTTTGTAAACATACGTGTGCCATATCTAACGCCATTCAATACCATTAAACTACTAATATTTAGTGCCACCGCACTGGATTTCTTTAAAATTAGTTATTTATGCGAATAGATGAGGTGGATGTGCACAATTAATGCGTCAATCATCCGCATCCTATTTATCCCATTTATCAATCGCCATCGTTGCGAAATAATACATTTCGATCATACTGCATTAGCAGCCAACAAAAGGACAACAACAACAGTAAAAGCATCAATTGAAAGCCGAGCGCCGCTAACGAAAGAAATAAAAATGTGTTAATAAGTTAGCACTTTAGAAACCAATATTATTCGAGACGTTTCATTTCGAAGCAACAACATATGCGTGATGCCAAGGTGGCAGAATAATAACAAACATTGCGATATGTAGGCTGATAATGAAAATATATGTTTCAATGTCACGGTGGACTATCTCAGTGTACTATTTTTAAGATGAGTTTCGCTTTCGTAAAATATCTACAAAATGTATCAAAAAGGACAGAGTGCGCCATCTATGGAATAAAAGTATGTTCTAATCCGGATACTTCTCTACTACAGCAACCTTCTCCAATATTTCAACGACGAGATCGCTATTAATATACAAGCAATTGTTTTAAAAAAAAAAATTCGTTGATTACTAGATATATAAAATGATTTGTGAACGTCATTGTTAGTTATTTTGAAAAGTCATGTTTTGATCACCTCCAAAAATTTTAAGAAAATTTGATGTCTTTTAATTTTCACATTTTTTTCATGAAATTCAACTTCGATCCAAAATGCCGTGTAATATTCTCTCCTGCGCCTTCCCCTGCTGCCTGGGCCAGGTCCGATACATGGTAGTCTTCCTATTATTCATCGGCATCATTGTCAGCAACACCCACCGATCTGTTCTAAACATCGCCATAGTAGAAATGGTCTCCAACCGAAAAACAAGAAATGGTACAACGTGCCCCTCGCTTAGAGGAAGCCATTCCGTAATTACTGATATCGGAGGTGGTAAAATTGATTGGAGCGAATCTGAACAACAGCTGGTAATTGCAGCATTCTTTCCGCTGTACTTCATAATGCACGTCCCAGGCGGTATCATGATGGACCGTTTTGGAGCGCGTCATGTCTTAATGTGGTGTTTCATTATTTCGTCCGTGACCACAGCCATGATTCCAATGGCGGCCCGACATTTTCCCTGGTGGGCAGTCTTCATTATTCGTTTGATCACAGGGGCATCGCAAGGACCTCTTATACCAGGAGTGTCTGCGGTGGTGAGCAGATGGATACCACCGCAAGAAAGAGCAACGGTAGGTGCAATGGTTTTTGCCGCCAATGCTTTTGGAATATTGTCTGGAAATTTAATCACCGGAACACTTATTCGAGCGGTTAAAGATTGGCAAATACCATTCTATATGTGGTCGGGTATCGGAATGGTATATGTAATACTCTACATAGGCTACGTGTTTTCGGACCCACGGACCTCGCCGTTTTAACTAGTGTAGAACTAAACTACCTCACGGAGTTGATGACCTTTAAAGAACCTGCAGGTATCCCACTGGGGCCCATCTTGAAGGACTTATGTGTGTGGGGGCTAGTATCAGCTCAAGTTGGACATGGATTCGTTATTTTTACACTACAGAATAATCTTCCAAAGTACCTCAACAATGTACTCGGTTTTGATATTGTCAGCAACGCCTTAACCGCTTTGCTTTTCATATTTCAATGGTTGTCTGGAATGCTGGCAGGCATGTTATCGGACCACTTGGTAAAGAAGAAAAATGCAAACGTTTCCTGGATGAGAAAAATCTATACTGCCGTCTCCAACATTTTGTCCTCTTTATTTCTACTTTTCGTCGGCATGGCCCAGTGCAATATCCCGATAGCCATAAGCATGCTTGGAATAGCGATCTTCTTAAAGGGAATATTCTTTGCTGGCATGAAAGTAAACATCGTCGACATATCGGTTAACCATAGCGCTTTGGTGATGGCGGTTGTCAACGGAATTGGTGCCATACCAGGCTTTCTTTGCTCCTTTATTATCTCCAAAGTTGCACCCAACAACGCACACGAAGAGTGGTTCTACGTCTTTCTTGGAATGCTTGGCATTCAAGTTTTAACATCGCTCATTTACCTTATACTATCAGGAACCGACCGCAGGAAATGGGATTACAAAGAGGGAGAACAGCCGCCGCCCAAGAAGAAGGCAAAGCATTGGTACCTACAAATGTCACCCTCCGATGACGCCATTCGCGTAGAAAACAATAAGAAAGCGGTAGAAAATCGAAAAGCCAACGCCGTGGCTGCAAAAGCAAGAATGGCTGAAGAATACAAGGCCTCTATAGAAGCCAAAAAGGCGGCAAAACAAGCGGCCCGCAGCGGAACATAAAACAAAAAATTTACTTGGAATCAAAATTCTCCGTTTATAATTATCAACTTGATCGTAAAATTAATGGTGTATAAATAAATTAGCGTTTGGTCTTTTTGTTGTTACTAGTACAAGGTTTTTCACCAGCAATAACAACCACACAATCATCGTCGGAACCGTCAAGTTGTCTCTTTTTATCCGTAGAGACAATCTTTAAATATTTATCAAGACTTTTATCACTTACCATTGATATCACCACACTCTCAGGAGTCATCCCACATCGAAGGTAACAGTTCACGGAATAAGGTGTGTAATTTTTCTCCTCGGTCAAGCACTTCTTGATTAAAAGATGTCCAATTATATCCTCAGCCTGCTGCTTGGATATCCCTGGTTTCCTAATCTTTACTGTAGGTTTTAACCAGACATCCACCAACTTTGCAACGGTCAAGTTTTTATCGCCTTGCATTGATGTTGTTATTAATTTATGAATATCAACATTTGCATCGGCTACGTCATAATCTTGTAAATGATTATTTTCTTTTGTCGCTTTCTTACAATTGTCACACATTGAATTGCACCTTCTGATTTCCATTTCTTCAAAGTGCAAACCAATCAGGTAATGGCGACAGCTACGCAATAAAGTTCAGGTAAAAATTTTCAAATGAAAACAAATATGGCGTACTTACTGTTTAAGAGATAGGCAATATTCCAACACTGAGAAAGCATTCTTAACCTCTACTTTAGACCGCGCATACCCGCTGTTCTTCATATAGTCGCTCAACTTGAACATGACAATACATTGCGCATCTTTGCCATCTCTTCCAGCCCTCCCACTTTCTTGATACAAAGTCTCCATACTTTTCGGTATTGAATAATGAATGACAAATCTAACATCCGGTTTATCAATGCCCATGCCGAAGGCAACAGTAGCGACCACAACTTGAATCTTACTCTCTAACCACTTTGTATGTGTTAGTGTTTTTACTTCTTCTTCAAGATCAGCGTGATAACTAAGCGCTTTGATATTTCTCGCCCTTAATCCTTTCATAATTTCACTGCTATCTTTAATAGTGGCAGTATAAATTATACCTGATTGATCTTTGAATGTTTTTGTGAGGAGTTTTTCAAGGTAATCATAGCAATCATCTGATTTGTCTGGTTTTGATACAACCTTGCCAGAATAAAAAAAATAAGAGCTATAAGTTTAAAGTCTTAAGCTCACATATGTATATCTCTTACCTTGAAGTTTAAATTATGCCTATCAAACGGTGCGCGTAATATTGTACAACCTGGAATATCCAGCATGTTCTGAATATCCAAGAGAACTGAAGTTGTTGCTGTAGCAGTTAGGCCTATAATAGGCACATCTTTAAACATGCCTTTCAATAGACCCAGATATTTGTAATCTGGTCGAAAATCGTGGCCCCATTGTGAACAACAGTGAACTTCATCTGTAAAACAATAAAGTTTATAAAAAATCCACTTTAAAATAAGATAACTATAAGAAACCTTAATTTTGCTACATTTTACTTACCAATTGCAATTCTATCCAATTTTCCTCTTTCATGTAACTTTTGTAAAGATGACATAAAAGTTTTACTCTTTGCCAACCATTCTGGTGTAACATACATCAACTTAAGATCTGGTCCAATGCCTTTAGACATATACTGAAATCCAGCTTTCTTAGCATCTTTATCAGTGGTTGAAGACATAGACATTGCATTGATGCCTAGTTTTCTGAGATTTATCAACTGATCTTGCATCAATGCAATCAGAGGTGAAACAACTAGAGTCATCCCCTTGTCAATTACAGCAGGCAGTTGGTAACATAAAGTTTTACCACCACCAGTGGGCATCAACAAAAGCAAATCTTTCTTTGATAATGTAGCATTAATGGCAGCAAGTTGTTGTGTTCTGAATGACTTTAAATTGAATTTTTCTTCTAGTACCTTCTGTGCGTTCTTGGACCACGCATAATCTACGTTGGTTAAAGTCTCGTCTACTTCTAAACTCTTCTTAAGATTGTAGTTAGCTTGCAGTTCATCTTTTTGTGACTTCAATCTGTTAATTCTTCTTGTAAGTTCTTCTCTTTTTCTTGTTAACTCGTAAATTTCTGATTCTATTAGACCTATTTTCAGCGGAATGTCCTCTTCATCCATTTTGGAAAATGTTTTGTGCACAACACTAATAATAAAACAATTAATAATAGTTTACACTATGTGTAAATTAAGTTATAAACAAGTAATGTTTTCTGTGGTTATGTTCATCTGTTTTAAACTGCGGTTTTAAACTTGAGTCACTAAATCACGTTGATAGATGGCGCGACGTGTTCCAAATATGAATTAAAGGAGACATTGAAACTTTATATTTCTGATCAAGGCCGTGAATTCTCTGTTTATCCTTATGTTCTTTTTGATTTAAGTTACTAAAACATGCCGTTAGATGGCGCAAAGAGCTTTAAATGTATATTAAAATACCCATTGAAACTTTGTATCTGTGTAATTTGAAACAAACGACAAACAGAAAACGAGCAATAAATACGCAATTGCATCTCTACACTCAGATAGCACAGTAACAAGTTAATAAGGAATGCAATTTCTCAATACTGCACTCTATATGTATCGATTTTATTTCAAATGTAAATATAGAATCAACGCGCTTACTTAATAAAACCCAATCAAATATGACTCATTAAATTTGGTAAGTGTTGTTAGCATGATGGATAAGAACGGTAAGATTGTTCAAATCTAGGAGTTGTAGTTTCTAGGAAAAAATGATGAACGTCGTCGGTGCAGTGCGCGACGGACCGGTTTATTGGTTCGGTCGCGCTTCTTTCGCCGTCGTCGGGCGGCGGCATGGCGCGGGGGGTGTGCGGCGGTGCGACGGGGCGGCCGAACGTAAGAAAGGTTGGGACGAGTTTTTGTGTGCCTCGCGCCGCAGCGCCGCCGTGCCGATGCAACTAACTCTAAAACGATTTCGTTGTACCATGACCCGATTTCGAGTGCAAGCCGCGTTTGCGCTGCACACTCGCTACTAGCCGCGCTGAAAACATTCAGCCAAGAAATTCGTATGCGAATTTTCGTCAACCACTTCCCACCGACTTCCAATAGTTGCAACTTTAATATGAAACACGTAACCATTTCACTCCTCTCGTTATTAATGTTTTTAAGAATATCCTCAGATGGCGCTGGAGGATTATCATCTAGGATTGAGGTAGAAGTGTCATGAAAAATGATTTAAGAAATGCAACATGATGCAAGTCGCAAAACGTGACATTTCTTTGGTGGTGGAATTCGAGCGTGGATCGTGTTCCGGCGTTATTATCACGATTACGATTATTATTATTATATCCGTACGACGCTCGTCTTGCATTTGGCGTAAGAAGAGGGTAGATGGGTGCAACGCATCCGCGCACACCCGCACCCGCCTGCAAGTCCACTCCGCGGGCTGGCGACCCGGGCGGCGGCGGTGTTTTAATATCTGAAATTTATGTAGTTATTGATTTTTCGCTTCGCTCCACGGTGGGCGCACTTATCGTAAAAAAACTGGGCGTTGGTTTAAGAAGGGGGCGACGAGGGCGGCGGCGGCGACGCATCGCGGGATGCAGTTCGGAGGCGCCGCCGCTGCCGCCGCCGTCGCCGGCGTTGCCTTGGCGACCGTTGATTGATAGGACAGTTGCTCCTTACCGCCTTGAGAACAAACACTTGTCAAATTTTATCGCCCCCCTTCCTACAGGGGGACTTCCTTCCTCTTTCGCCCCGCACGCGCTTTATTTCCTCGAAGCGTTTTCGTAACGACAACGACCTTAGAGTCGTCTAGCACGCCGCGCACGACACAGCCGCGCGCGGCGTAATGCGATGCAATCTAATATCAGTTATTACTGAAGTGCCACCCATCCGACGATCCAACAGATCCGACCTCCATGCAACCTCATACTCATTCCGCGCCAGATTCCTCCTTCTCCTCCTTCTGTATACATGTCTTGTCCTCCCAACGCAGATGGACGCATAGTTAATTAAATATCACTGCACTAGCGCAACTTGTGTCTTGTTGGTGCATGTTCTTCCAAAATGCACAATGGCAGCTAAATTTAGTTGCAGTTTTTATTCCGATGTGCTCTTCCTTCCAATCATCAGCAGTTGGTCAGTTTCCCGGGACGTAGCAAATTATAATCGAATTTCAAAGGACTGTAATGAAATTGCGTTTTGAGTTTCCCAACATTCGCTTGGATGGACGCGCAGGTTGGAATGGACAGACAGAGCACACTGCCGGCGAAATTTTTTGCGATTGCTTGTTGCGTCCTGCACGTCCATGCCGAACTCGTCGACGCGACGAGCAAAAAAACTCACAGTCGTCAATCAAGATTGACATTTTGCTTTCAACCACACCAACAATCAACACAAAACTATAGAATTAGTTCTTCTCTTCATCTTAATCCTTAAAAACCTCTCTACATAGGTATACTCCAGGTCCTAAAGTTAAGATGGCTTCTGATAAAACTCCTTAATTATGTTGAACTTTTTCCTGTTTTCTCGTGTTTGAAGTTTAAAAGGTTTTACCAGAGTCCTACTGAAAGTTTTGTAAGACCTTTGATGTTTTTTTTTTGTCCTCTTATGACAAGTTTGGCAATTTTCAGTAAAATTTAGGGATGATTGCAGGGTCCATGTTACTCACACGCCTAGTACACATCGTCCGTAAGTTTTATCGCACAAGTGTGCGAACGTGTGTAATGTGTAATGTGCGTTCGAGTGTCGTGCCGACGACGCCGACATTCGCGCTCGGTGGCTGGTGGCGGCTGCCGGTGTTTGGGTGTGCGTGTGCGCGCCGCGGATGGCTTTACTCAGTCGGTCGTGTGGAAGGTCAGTAACCGCGCGAGGTGGATGGGAAGACGGGGAGAAGAACACGCGCGCGGCGAACGCCGAACCAGCCGAACAACCAAACCATCGGCGAAAAACGGAAAGAAACGAGAACCCGAGAGAGCCACCAGAGGGGCCAGGGACCGAACCGACCGAACCAAACGCAACGCGTTGCAAAAAAAGCTCACACATACAGAGCCAGAATGAAACAAAACGGCAACGGCTGCGAAGTAACGGACTATTTTTATCGGGAAATCGACGTCAACAAGAAAAAAAAACTATGAAATTAATGAATCTAAAATTGAAGAACATGATGGAGAAAAATCTACTCTACTCATACTCATGTACGATTATTAACAGTTGCATATGCTGTCTGTAATCATGAAAATGATGATAAAAGCCAAGCAAAACAAAAATTGTGTTTTGATCCGTTTTTTAATTAATACTCTTACTAGTCTTACCCCTAAGAGTTAATCCCTACAAATGGATTACTGCATGATTACCTTACCAGTTGTGACTTTCCAAGTCATTACGCATTCGTTAATTTTACGTAACGACACGCCACGTGGCACAAAAATGAAAGAACATTACTGATGTATAGATTATCATCAGACATCGTCGAGGACCTCGTCCTTTATACGCGCTGCATCGAGGGTTTGTGTTTCTGCAAACAAACGACGATTTTTTCCATTATCTTTTGTCGGACTACGGCTTTAATTACCACTCCACACTCCACTTCACTTCGCTCTAGTCCAGCCCGTCGAGGAGCAGGTCCTAGGATCAAACGCGAGGATTCCGCAAGGACGCCCACTGGGTAAAAAAGTGCGCAAATGTTCAAGCTGACGGAATAATAACCGGCGTCCAGGGAAACAGACCTATTGGACTCGGGGTAGGAATGGAAATAATTGCGGATTAACATTAGCGACGCTTCGACGGTAATCCGCCGATAATTACAACCATAGTACATTCTTGCGTTTGACATGTATTTTCATCCAAAGAAAGGATTTGCGATAATAATCGAAATAAAAAAAAAACGTAACAAAAATCAACATTTGGATTGAAATCAGTTGCGATTGCAATAGGTTCAAGTGTAACACGCCACTTTGCTGAATTGCAGATTGATTACGTTGTTATCACCTTATTACTTGTCACATTTAAGCGTTGCGCGCGGCGTAACGCACACCCGAGCCTCGCTTTTCTAGGCGCCCAACAAGTTAATTATGAATTTATATTATGTTGCTTGGTTGCCGTATGCGTACAGGTCAGGCCGTTCGCCCGTACACAGCCATTATGATTATTATTATGGAGTCGTAATGTGTCAGATAATTTTCTTGCCGGCGCGCGCTTAGGTTATGGCCACTACTCGTATTTCCATTTCTATCAACGCCATACTACACCAACGCATACATACAATAACATCTAATACAAACTGAAACAAACAGCTGAATGCTGCAATGGCGGGGATTGTGTGCGTGAGTATTAAACAAATGAGCTACACGTGAAAATGCAAGCGTAAAGAAGTTATGGCTGCTCAGATGAGCACAAGAGTTGAATTTCTCGGTTGTTATTAACTATGCGCGATTGTTTTGGCTCCGCACGTAATTTTACTATGTTACTAACTAATTGTTCAAGTTTATACTTAATGTTTTGTTAAATTATTGATTTATTTAATTGTATTTAATTTAATTCTCACAGTTTTTTTGGTTAAAGATGCATTTTTGTGTTGTCACTACGTTAAAACTAACTTGAATACGACCGTTAGCATATTTTCCCCTGCTTGTTATTCGTTACTTGGCAACGTGTTCCGTCACTATTAGCAACGTCAACAACTAGGACTTGTCTCACTCTCACTTTGATATTTCGATGAATTGACCGAATGTCTTCTCGGACGCAAATCATCACGTATAGTTTTACGACCATCGCTGGTAACGTGTTAGAAGGCACTAAACTTGGCAAGTGGACACTATACGCATAAATGCAAATAATACTACACACTACTACACACTTTTATTAACATATTGTTTTCGTAATAACATTTGCAATTCACATTTCACGCCATGTTATATGTTACTTTCGGTTTATGTTTGGTTTTCTTTTCTCTGCTCGGACACAACCCTATCTGAGCATTATTGCTAGGCCATAATCGTAATAACGTCGAATACGCGGAAGACGGAAGACAGTTGGCAATTTGCGTGAATGATATTGGCAGCCATGTTTAAAATGTCATCACGATCGTAAAATAGCAAATTGCGTCGTTTGGGTTGCCTACCGTTTTCATCTTAAGTTTAACTCTTTAAATTTTGTTTTATATTTTCAATTAAACCTTTTTTCTAGTAACCAACGTTTTATATTTGGCCCTTGACATCATAACAAATTTGCCCAGGCGTTAATTAAAATTGAAAGAAGAAATTTGTTGCTGGCGC